AGACATACAGAGACTGACACAGGGATAGGGGCGGCAAGCAATGCATTTTGTAATGTCTGTCCAAAAATCATGGATCAACTGGCAATTCCAGAAAATGTGATCAAAATTGGCAGGGGAATAAACACATCTCAAGCACTCTACAGAGCAATTTGGATATACCCCTGCCAATCTAGCCGGGGTAAAATACATTCTGTGGAGAAATTTGAAGTGAATCAATCTGTCTCAAGCTGAGACCAAGTGTTTAAACGAATGGTCCCACATGTCATCACAATCCTCCCCCCTAATATCCGAGACCTCGACACTCCACTTCTCTCTACGCCGGATCACCGAGGGAGATGATGTTCCAAACATTTCTTTTTATGCCACAGATAATGTTTTTGACAAGAAATCATCTAGGAACATGTTTCAAGGACTGAAGGCTGAGTCTTAATGGTCAAGGTATGAAACTATGACTGGCAAGCATGGCATAGTTGAAGATAACGGAAATAGTGGTTATGTGGGAGATTGTAATTTGCTTTCAATTGATCAAAAGTAAGTAGATTACCTCCCCTAACAATGTCACCCACCTTTTTAATGCCCACAACATTGAGGTGATTTTAGGGAAAGTTCCCAGGCCCTAATAGTGGCTTTCATAGATACCGTAAGCTCCAGGAAAGACCTGATTTCTTTATAAAAGGCCAAACGCAGACTCTCATACGAGCCCAAAATCGCCATGGTAGGACCATGACCAATTCTCCATCATCTTCCAGGAGACAACGGTGTGCAAACACCATTTGACCTGTAAGATAATATTTTTGCCAATGAGGGAGTGCTAGCCCTCACTGACCCCAAGGTTCCTGCAACACCTTTAATCCAATTTGTGGAGGTGAGGGAGACCAGAGAAAAGAGCTAATAAGACCATTAATCTTCTTAAAATAGGATTTATGGACTCATATTGGGGCATGACGTAAAAAGTAAATGATAACAAGGAGTACTTTCATCTTGATAAGGTTGATCTTGTCAATTAGAGACAAGGGGAGATTTTTTCAGGCTTGGATTCTCTTTTTCAAAAAAGTAAGAAGTGGAGTCAGATTTAAGAACATCTAGTCTGCTATATTGGCCGTAATTTGGACCCCAAGGAAAGTTATTCAGGATACCCAGGGGAGAGCTCTAGTTCTCAGGTCCAAAAGCAAAAGAGAGGATTTGGACCAATTTACCATTAATCAAGAATAGACGGCAAAGTTATTCAGAATATGCAACTCCACCTGCATGGATGGCGTCCGATCATTAAGGAAAAGAATCAAGTCATCAGCATATAATGCAAGACACTCTCTAAAGGCACCCACCTACAAGGCCTCTACTGCAGGGGATGACCATAGTGCAATAGCCAAGGGCTCCATCATTTACGCAAACAGAAAAGGTGATAGTGGACACTCTTTTCTGGTGCCTCTGCCTACAGGAAATAGAGAAATAGAGAATTCAAGCCTAATTGCCACCTGAGGACTACTGTACAACACTGCCACCGACCAACGGAAATGCGGGCCAAAACCCATCAGTTCTATGACCATATGCATGTGCTCCCTGTCAACAGAATCAAATGCTTTTAGTATGAGAATAGACTGTTATTACAGTAGTAGACTGGCCATCGTGTGGAATTTGGAGGAGTGTAAAAACCCTGTGTAGGTTGGTGTCTGTCGACTTTCCAGGCATAAAGCCAGTTTGGTCCATATCCACTATGGACTGGCTAACTTTAGCTAGTCTGGTGGTTAACACTTTGGTTAAAATTTTTAGATCCATATTCAGAAGGACTATTGGCCTGTAGGAGGAACAGTCAATGGGGTTTTTCCCTGGCTTAGGCAGAAAGATCACATGTGCTTCCAACATTGAGGGAGGGACGGTCTGCTGTTCCAGGCAATTATCAAACAAAGCACAGAGTAGGGGGGCCAGTATCTCCGCAAACGTTTTATCAAGATCAATCCTTCCAGGCCTGGTAACTTGTGTGGGGGAAAAGCACTGATGGCAGCTTCAATTTTCAAGGGGAGTAATCTTGGCTTCTAGGGTTTCCCTGTCCAACTCAAAGAGCACTGGCAAAGCCATATCACTAAGGAGTTTACGTGAAGAGTCAATATCATATTGCAGTATAGGAAAATACAAAGATGAAAAAGAATGTACAAACTCATCTAAAATACGAGGGGGGGGGGGGGTTCAGTAATAAGGTCGCTACAAGCAGCCTTGATAGCTGGAGTGGTGGAACTGACCTTGTGATCAGCCACTAGCATGATCAAGAGCTTACCATTTTTTGTCAGCTTGAGTAAACAGAGACTCAGCCTTGTTTACTTGTTTTATTCAGTATGGGCAAGATCAGAAAAATGCACCAAGAGAAGGTACCTAGCCTCCAACAGGGAGGTGTGAAAATAATCTGTTGGGGACTTCACACACCTCCTCTCTTTTTTCTGAGTCAAAAGTATGTCATTGTTATAAGCCTTTGATTCTGTTTTGATAGTTGAAATACATTCACCCCTTTACACTGCTTTAAATGCATCCCAGAACATTGGAGGCGAGGCTGAATTAACATTGGTATACCAGCAAGATTGTCAAAGCCTGGGTCCGAACCTGGGCCTTCTGCAGTGAGTGGCAATGTTTCCTCTTGCTGAGCCACCTGGAATGCTGGACAGCTCCCTTGACAACTATTTGGACGATCCTATCTTGACCTTGTTTATCATAAACCTTGAACCCCTTGCACCTCCCATGAACTTCCTGATATAAGCCATGTCTCTGCACTTCCTGTTTGCCAGATTATTGTTTCTCGCCAGCCAGTATCGTGCTCCCCATCGTCTCTGCTGTTATCCATATTTTGCTATCACTCGTTATTGACCCTTGGCTTGTTCTCGGCTACGCTTCTGCCTGATCCAAACCTGCGACTGCTCCTTACCGACCTTGGCTTGTTTACTGACCACGCTTCCGTTTGATCCTTACCTGCTTATATGCTACTGGACCTCCGCTTGCTCACCTCCTGGTGGGGTGATCCTGAGGACCGTGACCTGGTGCTAACACACAGCCAAATCCATCTCCACCATCAGGAGCTCTGGTGAACACAGGTCGATACTTAGACTCCGCACCTCGGATGATCCCACTCCTCCGCCACGTTGACCTGCCTGTGAACCTCTCCTACTGGTTTCAGGTAAGCCTTTCCACTGCTATAGCAACTGGTCTTTGAGCCTGACCCCTGATCGTGACAGAATAATCTGGCAACAAACATGGAGGTCGCTATAGCAAACGTTGTGGCTCCTCTTAGGCAGCAAATTGCTGAGCTGCAGAAATTCGGAGTCACCCATCAAGAAAAAGTTGCCAAACTAGAAAGCATAGTGGATAGGCAACAGGGAGAGATTCATACTCTGCAGAGACAACTGCTGAACCGAGATGATACCAACTCACATATGCCCCAGCCCCCACCATCTAAGTTTAATGGAGACCACCACCATTACAGGGGTTTCCTTAATCAATGTCATATATATTTCCAAATGCACCCTGCTGCAGTTCCTTCAGAGAAACAGAAGGTAATGTTTATTGTTGGACTTCTGACTGGGAAAGCTCTAGCTTGGGCATCCCCTTATATAGAACAAGACAATGGCAGTCTGAATAATTTTGATACCTTTTTGACCGTGATGAATCAGGTTTTTGATGATCCCAACCGTTGTGCTACTGCCGAAGCAAAGTTGCATAGTCTGCGGCAGGGTAAACGCTCGGTCACTGAATACACAGCCGAATTCAGATGTTGGATCACAGATACTGTCAGGAATGGACTGGCCAGCAATAGTGGGACTCAGCTGCCTTATGAGCTGCAGTACCAGGGCTGGCCAGCGGGTGCTCCCAGCAATCAGAGACTCAACCTTGCAGCCAGTCAAACACCTGGAACTAATTATACTGGTGTATTTAAGGGACATTCAGACCTGCAGACTCTGCCTTGGTGTTGTGTTTCTCTTGGGCCCTGTATCCTGTTCCTGCTCTCTGTTCCTGTCTGATTCTCTGCTGACCCTGCTCTGATCCCTGGCTTGTCTGACCATTCTCCTCTGCCTGACCCTCTGTACCACGCTGCCCGCTACCTGCTGAACCTGGCCTGTGACCCCGACCATTCTCCACTTGCTCCCCCTGTACCTACCTGCCCGACTGATATTGACCCGACCTGCCCGACTGACATTACACCAAGGCCAATCCTGACCAGAAGTGGCTGCACAGGGAAGCCATCTTGGCTTGTTGATGGGAAGGATGGATCTGGATGAGGTTGCGTATTTATATCTGCTAGTGTTTGATGACAGGGAGTATGCTTATCAAACTCTGAAGGAGTATACCCGGGATGAACTGCTAGAATGTATACGGCTCGCTCATGTTCTAGTAGATCAGGGCACAGAGTTCTCTGAGGTGCAGCCTTTGATTGAGCTTTGTGCTGAGTTGGTTTCATCTGGTACCCCCGAATGCAGGGATGAATTTTTGCCACCATTTAGTGCAGACCAGGGTAGAGTCCCTGGTGGTGGTTATTAGAGGATGATGTGGGTTACTTTCTGGAGCGTTATTCCACATGTTCACCACAGACACTAAGAGATTGTATAAACGCAGTGCAGTCTTTGGTCAGACAGGCTTTGTGTAAGCTCAGCTTTGTTCAACCCATACTGCAGACATGAACAGACTTGTTGCACCCAGCCTCAGTCAGCTTACAAAAACCCAGTCCTGCTTCTAATCTATTTCCTCAAAACTCTATTCCTGCATTCCCAACAGCTCCTCCTGCCCTGCTATCTACCGCATGTCAGTACCCTGTTCCCACTCGCTGCACCTATCCTGCCTTTAACCCTGTAAAAAAGCCCTCTGTAGCAACTGCTCCCTCCCCTGTTCCATCCTCCAGCTCTTCTCTGTCTCCAGCTGCTCCATTCGTTTGCAGACCTGCGTTTACTTGCAGTGCTCCAGTAGTTAAAACCAGAAAAAAGCGAAAATTCTTTCCAACCAACACCATCCTGCCAGTATCCAAACTGGTGAACCTGCCTTCCGTGGTTCAGCCTGAAGCCTCTACTCAGCCTGAATCCTCTACTCAGCCTGATGCCTGTACTCAGCCTGATGCCTGTACTCGGCCTGCTGCCTGTACGCAGCCTGATGCCTCTCTTCAGCCTGAAGCCTCTACTCGGCCTCTACTGAAGCCTCTACTCGGCCTGAAGCCTCTACTCGGCCTGAAGCCTCTATTCAGCCTGAAGCCTCTACTCAGCCTGAAGCCTCTACTCAGCCGGATGCCGGCATTCAGCCTAAATGCCTCTACCCAGCATGATGAACTGATCCAGCCTGACGATCCTATTAGGCCAGTTGACTCGATGCCCGCTGTTGATCCAGATGATCCGGTACCTGATCCGGTGCCCGCTGTCGTGCCAATTGACTCAGAGCCGCTGTCGTACCTGGTGACTCGGTGCCCACTGCCTTGCCAATGACGCGGTGCCCGCTGGCGAGCCAAATGACCTGATGCCTGGTGACCCAGTGCCCGCTGTCATACCTGGTGACCCGATGCCCGCTGTCGAGCCAGACGATCCAATGCCTGGTGACCCGGTGCCCACTGCCTTGCCAGATGACGCGGTGCCCGCTGGCGAGCCAAATGACCTGATGCCTGGTGACCCAGTGCCCGCTGTCATACCTGGTGACCCGATGCCCGCTGTCGAGCCAGACAATCCGGTACCTGAATGACCCGGTGCCCACTGTCGTGCCTGTTGACTCGGAGCCCACTGCCTTGCCAGATGACGCGGTGCCCGCTGTCGAGCCAAATGACCTGATGCCTGGTGACCCGATGCCCGCTGTCCAGCCAGACGATTCAATGTCTGCCCCAGTGCCCGCGGTCATGCCAGTTGACTCGGAGCCCACTGCCTTGCCAGATGACGCGGTGCTCGCTGTCGAGCCAAATGACTTGATGCCTGGTGACCCGATGCCCGCTGTCCAGTCAGACGATCCAATGTCTGACCCAGTGCCCGCGGTCATACCAGTTGACTCGGAGCCCACTGCCTTGCCAGATGACGCGGTGCCCGCTGTCGAGCCAAATGACCTGATGCCTGGTGACCCGATGCCCGCTGTCCAGCCAGACGATCCAATGTCTGACCCCGTGCCAGCGGTCATGCCAGTTGACTCGGAGCCCACTGTCGTGCCTGGTGACTCGGTGCCCGCCGCCCCGCCTGGGGACCTGAGACCTGTCGCTCCGCCTGAGGGCCCGAGACCTGTCGCTCCACCTGGGGGTCCGGCGCCCACCGCTCCGCCTGAGGGCCCGAGACCTGTCGCTCCGCCTGGGGGTCCGGCGCCCGCCACTCCGCCTGGAAGCCCGATGTGCTGTTGCCCCGCCTGGGGGCCCGATGCCTGTTGCCCCGCCTGGGGGCCCGATGCCTGTCGCCCCTCCTGGGGGCCCGGCGCCCGCCACTCCGCCTGGGGGCCCGATGCCTGTCGCCCCGCCTGGGGGCCCGATGCCTGTCGCCCCGCCTGGGGGCCCGACGCCTGTCGCCCCGCCTGGGGGCCCGATGCCTGTCGCCCCTCCTGGGGGCCCGGCGCCCGCCGCTCCGCCTGGGGGCCCGATGCCGGTCGCCCCGCCTGGGGACCCGATGCCGGTCGCCCCGCCCGCCCGGGGGCCCGATGCCTGTTGCCCCGCCTGTGGGCCCGATGCCTGTTGCCCCGCCTGGGGGCCCGATGCCTGTTGCCCCGCCTGGGGGCCCGGTGCCTGTCGCCCCGCCTGGGGGCCCGATGCCTGTCGCCCCTCCTGGGGGCCCGGCGCCCGCCGCTCCGCCTGGGGGCCCGATGCCGGTCGCCCCGCCTGGGGACCCGATGCCGGTCGCCCCGCCGGGGGCCCGATGCCTGTTGCCCCCCCTGTGGGCCCGATGCCTGTTGCCCCGCCTGGGGGCCCGATGCCTGTTGCCCCGCCTGGGGGCCCGGTGCCTGTCGCCCCGCCTGGGGGCCCGATGCCTGTCGCCCCTCCTGGGGGCCCGCGCCCGCCGCTCCGCCTGGGGGCCCGACCCTGTCGCCCCGCCCCGCCCGATGTCTGTCGCCCCTCCTGGGGGCCCGGCGCCCGCCGCTCCGCCTGGGGGTCCGATGCCTGTTGCCCCGCCCGGGGGCCCGGTGCCTGCTGCTCTGCCCAGGGGCCCGGGTGCCTGCTGCTCATCCCGGGGCCCGCTGCCTGCTGCTCCGCCTGGGGGCCCGGTGCCTGCTGCCCCGCCTGGGGGCCCGGTGCCTGCTGCTCTCCGCCTGGTGGCCCGCTGCCTGCTGCTTAGCCTGGTAATCCGATGTGCCTCTGCCCGGAGTCCTGCCCGATGTGCCTCTGCCCGGAGTCCTGCCCGATGTGCCTCTGCCCGGAGTCCAGCCCGGTGTGCCTCTGCCCGGTGTGCCTCTGCCCGATGTGCCTCTGCCCGGAGTCCAGCCCGATGTGCCTCTGCCCGGAGTCCAGCCCGATGTGCCCTCTGCCCGGAGTCCAGCCCGATGTGCCTCTGCCCGGAGTCCAGCCCGATGTGCCTCTGCCCGGAGTCCTGCCCGATGTGCCTCTGCCCGGAGTCCAGCCCGATGTGCCTCTGCCCGGAGTCCTGCCCGGAGTGCCTCTGCCCGGAGTCCAGCCCGATGTGCCTCTGCCCGGAGTCCGGCCCGATGTGCCTCTGCCCGGAGTCCAGCCCGATGTGCCTCTGCCCGGAGTCCAGCCCAATGTGCCTCTGCCCGGAGTCCTGCCCGATGTGCCTCTGCCCGGGTGTGCCGCTGCCCGGGAGTCCTGCCCGGTGTGTCAGTCTTTGATATCCTGCCAGTTACCAGACCCGGGCGGTGGAACATTTGCCCAGCTAGAACTGTTTGGAGCGTCCTGAGGCCGCTCCTTGAGGGGGGGGTACTGTCAGGAATGGACTGGCCAGCAATAGTGGGACTCAGCTGCCTTATGAGCTGCAGTACCAGGGCTGGCCAGCGGGGTGCTCCCAGCAATCAGAGACTCAACCTTGCAGCCAGTCAAACACCTGGAACTAATTATACTGGTGTATTTAAGGGACATTCAGACCTGCAGACTCTGCCTTGGTGTTGTGTTTCTCTTGGGCCCTGTATCCTGTTCTTGCTCCCCCTGTACCTACCTGCCCAACTGATATTGACCCGGCCTGCCTGACGACGCTTGCATTGTATGTACTGTTATCTGTGGGTGGTTGGTTGGTTTGTTTGCGCTGTGTTATGTTTTAGTATTGCACTGCGTTTATGTTTGTATGGTTAGTGTTAATAAATTACATTGTTTATAACATATCTGAAGTCTGCGTTTCCCTGCGTCAGTCACACACCTCTGGTCATACCCGGGAGCCCTGACAGATACGACTTGGAACCCTGCAGCACAAAAAAGCCAGTTCTGAATGCTCAATCCTAATTCAAAAGAACTTCCTAGGGGCCACAAGTACAAAGACATTCTTGAGTCTTCTCAAAGAGGGGTATGAGAATGACCCACTTCTCAATGATCCTCCTAAGGACATTAACCCTGAATACAAGAACAGCTTTTGGACTCAAGCACATCATCTCTATGTACCTGAGTCTGCTCGGGTGGAAGCCCTCAAATTAGTTCATGACTCTAAACTTGCGGGACATTTTAGGATTTCAAGACAGATGAACTTTTGTCACTTTCCTTCTGGTGGCCTAGTTATAGGAAAGATATCAAATGCTACGTGGCCTCCTGTCTGACGTGAGCACGTCATAAGACACCCCAAGGTTCTCCTTTGGGGTTGCTCCAGCCACTTCCTGTTCCATCAAGACCTTGGGGGTCAATTTCTATGGACTTTGTAGTCGAATTACCTCCCTCAAAAGACATGACCACTATCTTGGTAGTCATCGACCATCTTACTAAGATGGCTCATTTTATACCTGTTAAGGGTGTACCTTCTGCTGAACAAACTGCAGAGTTTATGGTTCGAGATGTTTTTAAACTACATGGAATTCCTGATGATGTGGTATCTGACAGAGGAGTACAGTTTACGTCAAATTTTGGAGAAGCTTTTGTTCAGCTTTAGGGGTACCAGTTAACCTGTCCTCTGCTTTTCATCCTCAGTCTAATGGTCAGACTGAGAGGACCAATCAAACTTTGGAGCGGTGTTTTGTCAGTTATCTTCAGGATGACTGGGTGGACTATCTACCTATGGCAGAGTTTGCCTATAACAGTGCTAAACATAGCTCCACCTCGTAAAGCCCTTTTTTCTTCAATATGGGGTATCATCCAATTTTTATTCCTGATCTCCCTATCGCAACTCAAATTCCTGCTGTTGCCAACAGAATAACTACATTGCAGGAGATTCAGGCGAAGTTGATTGAGACTTTGGGGGAGGCTCAGGAATGTTATAAAAAGGCTGCCGACAGACATCGCAGATCACTTCCTACCTTTCATGTGGGCGACAAGGTTTAGCTATCAACCAAAAATATGAAGGTTCATGTTCCATCTGCAAAGTTGGGCCAAAAGTTTGTGGGACCTTTCCAGATTTCTGCTCAGATTAACCCAGTCACCTTTCGCTTAAAACTTCCTGACAGTATGAAGATTCACCCTGTTTTTCACGTATCGCTTTTCAAACCATTTCATGAAAATCCTTTCTCTGGAAGAATTCTTCCATCTCCTCCACCTGTTGAGGTACAGGGTGAAGAAGAATATGTGGTGGAGAAGATCCTTGACTCTAGGATGTTTAGAGGAAAATTGCAATATCTTGTCCAATGGGAAGGATATGGGCAAGAGGAGAATTCTTTGGAGCCTAAGGAAAATGTTCATGCTCCTAGATTAACAAGAGAATTCCACAGGAGGTTTCCCCTACAAGCAGGGGCGGACTGACAACTCATGGGGCCCCCGGGCAATAGGGGATCATGGGGCCCCTATGTCCTAGCCCACAATCAAACCACACACCCAAAAAAGCCTATGAAAGGTACCAGGGACATCTCATGGGGCCCCCTACTGACCCCGGCCCCTTGGGAAGTGCCTGAGTTCCCAAATGGTCAGTCCGCCCCTGCCCACAAGCCTGGTCCTAAGGCGTCCAGGGGACGTCCTGTGAGGAGGGGAGTACTGTCGTGACAAAGATGTCATTGCAGATTGTAATTGTGAAGAAGCTTGATCAACGAAGCCTGGGACAGTTTCCAAGCACCTCTCCCAATGCCTACAGGGAACTCAAGATCAACGGATAACGGAATATGATCTGAGACCCCCCTATTAAATAAGAGACCTCATGCATTAGGGATACAGTAAATACTGAGAGTTGCCAAAGACCATATCCAGCCTCACAGAGGACTGATGAATCCTGGAAAGGTGGGAGTAACTACTAGCTAGGGGGTGTTTCCAGCGCCAAACCTTTGCCACAGTTGCCCAAGGAAGAAGCTCAGTAGAGCTGGGCCTATTGGGATTGGATGTATCCAAAGCTGCATCTAAAATGGTATGAGTCCTGTGCAAGCACCAGCAGATAAGCAAACGGGGACAATTTAGCTAACAAGTCATAAAGTAATCGAGGCTGAAATGGGGGAGTAAATACGCATTAGCCAGCACCAGTTTGAGAATAAAGAGATCAAAGGCCAAGATTAAATATATCTCAAGGTAAAAAAGGTTGCCCTTTTTATCTTGAGATATATTTAATCTTTGATATCATGCATTATGGTGTTTCTTACCCTGGAAGTGTTGAGTCGTCAGATGCTATATGTTTATATATGGAGTGATAATTATCCATCATGTTAACAGATTATA